AATTTTAGCACAGTTTCATAATTGACTACTAAGTCAACTCGAGCACTACCACCTCTCGGCATCTGGCCTTCTCAGAAGATCACTATTGCAAGCTGTAGCTATGCAGATATGTGTGTATTCCATCTTGTCACTTAAGTTCAGCTTATTAGGGGGCAGACAGGCAAAAAAAAAAGCAGATAAAAAGCTCCAGTGTATTGGCTGCTCTCTAAGTGCATGCAGTAGACAGAAACTGACTGAGCTGGGCTAGAAAAAATCAATCCAGGTCTATGCTGTCATTGGCAGGGCGTCGGCTATCTGAGCCGTCAGTGCTGCCTTCTGGGGTTTGCGTTAGCAGGATGCACGTCTGTGAATCAGACACCTTGGTGATGTGAGATCTAACTACATCTTAACCATTATACCTGATTTAAGGTTCTGGAGATATCTATTTATATATAGTATAAAATAAATATATAAATATATATAATTCATAAAAATATATAACATTACATGTTATATAATTTATATATATGAGCATATATATATCAAAATATATATATACTTGCAGGTTGCATCCTAAATCATCTTCTGTTTGGTACTCAAGCCAAGCCTAAGCCTAGGATCACATAGAAGGGGCAGAAACACCCTTAATGGATTCAAACAGAGCCTCATATTTCACCAAATACAGGCAACTATTCATGGCAAAGATTCTATAATCAGAATTTTTTTTGTTTGTTTGTTAATTTGGGCAAACGGAAAGAACTCGCCTTTCTGCCTATAAAAATAAGATCCAGATCAAAAAGAATTTTAAAAATCCCGTGACAGCATCCCAGGAAGACAGCTTTTGAACCTTACTGGAGCTGTGAGGCACACAATGAGGTTTATGGAATGCTAGTGTCTGTAAGAGTCCATTCTAGGGATGTGCATTATGGCACAGCATACCAAGCTGTCATGTTGAGGCCTGCATCCCAGTGAGTTCCAGGTTGAATTCCAGTGAGTCATGTCTATTTCAGTTTCAATGCAGTTCCCTGCTAATGTGCCTGGGAACGAAGCGGATGATGGCCCTCGTCCTTGGACCCCTGCCACCCATATGAGAGACCCAGATGGAATTCCAAGCTCCTGACTTTGGACTGGCCATTGCAGCCACTGCAGCATATCAGTAGACAGGAGATCTTTCTGTCTGTTCCTGGCTTTCTGCCACTCTGATTTGCAAATAAATAACAAATAAACATAACTTATTTAAAAAGAATCCAAAGTCATGATTTCAAAAACACCGATTTCAATTTGGGTCTCCATCTCTCATTGAGACTCGGCAATTCTTTGCTGAATCTCCGGAATCCATTTTTCTCACATGTGATCTAGGAGATTTTGGTAAAGAATCCATCCAGCAGATTCTGAAAAATCTTCGCTAGTTTGATGAGAATGTTGCCATTCTCAAAAAGCAGAGAAATAGTGATCTCAAAGAACTGGCTTTGGAGAACACTCTTCTTCAGTTCTGATGCCACACCCAATGAGTGAAGAACTCTGTCTTCCTTAAGTTTTTCCTCACCCAAGATGCCAGCCTCAAGCTCCTGGGCCATGAACACTTCTGAATCACTGCATAGAAACCCAGGGACTGATACAACCAGGTGTGATAACTTGCTAGATTGGTTCACAGAACTCACCAGCAGTTGTATGCTTACTGTAACAGATTTACTGTGAAGGATACACAGCGTGAGATTAGAGCTCTGCTTGTCGGTTCTGGTATGCCATCCCCTCAGCATAGCTATGTGCTGGCAAGCAGTGCTCAGTGGGTTTTTGTGTGCAGAGACTTTGTCTGGATGCTTACAAAGGTTCTGTTGATTGGAGAGTGAACCATGTAATTGAAATAAGCTTCCAGACTCACTCCTTCCTTGTAAGTAATGCTGGCCCAAAGTTCCAACACTTTAACCATATTTAGTCTTTAACATGGAAATATCCTCCTCTCAACCTAGGAATTCCAAGGATTTTGGAACTCTGTGCCAGGCCCTGAGAGACAAAGGCCAAATAAAGTCTTAACTACACCAGTCAGAAAAGATATATATATCTCTATATTTATTTCTATATCTATGTATCTATGTATCTATGTATCTATGTATGTATGTATGTATGTATGTATGTATGTATGTATCTATCTATCTATCTAACTATCTCGCTGTTTGCATCATTGTATCATCCCCAGATCTAAAAGCCGACAGGAGACCTGGGAGAGGGGAGCTCTAGATGCAGTGCCCCTAAGGAGTAACACCAGATCACTTCTGACAATAGTCTTAGTTGGCAGAACTTTCCACTTTAAGGAAGCTAGGCACAAGTCCTGAAACCCAACCGCCTCATTCCCTTTTTTCCCCTCCTTCTTTACTTTCTCTTCAGTACCCTAATTACTTAGAACAGACTGAAAAACACAGGAGTCCATTATGATCTTAATCACCTGTTAAAGATCCAGTGAGGGACAACAGCCTTGAAGCAATTGAGGGGAACTAATAGTATTTTTTTTTTTCAATCCATGCCCAGGTAAAATCGGTGAGAATCTCAAATACAGAAGTTGTGCTTCAGACATCAGCTATTCTAATGGGCCTAGGGATGAGATTGGGGTCCAGCTGGGCGCCCTGGGAAGGGAAGGAGACATTCAAGCCCACTTAAGTGCTGTTCTTTCGTCCTGAGCTGCTGTTCTGAGTACTGTGAACTTGTGGAGTAAAATGAAATGTATAAACGCAGAGAAATATGATCATAATTACTTTTGGCATAGAAATATTTTAGCTAATGTTATTTTAATAAGGGTTTCTGTCAAGAGGGAAAAGGCAAATCGTAGAAAGCAGAATTTTATTCCGATGTTCTCTGAGTTAACGTTTCCCTTGCCTGTTGGGTTGGATATTTCCAAGTCTCCCAAGCAGCAGGTTAGGGTAGCAAGCTTATTGGCCAATCCCAGGGAAAACAGCGGGCAACGTTCTCTGCCAGTCATTTTGCTAAGTGTTATAGATGGCTGGGGGTCGATAATGGGGCATTCTCTGTCCTCAAGCAGCCTGGGCATCTGGCTAAGAACAATACCACGAAGAACAAGATTTGGGTGCAGATGCTGTGGATGCAGAAATCAGTGCCCAGAGAATTCTAAAGAGAAGAGGGAAACGTTGATTCCTGGGATGATTATGCAGTCTCAGCGTTGGGTTACAGAGATCCTGACCAAATGAGAGATCAGACCTTCTGGAGCAGGAGCCAGTGTGGTGCTGAGATGCTGGGGGAGCGAAGGCTGGCGGCTCTGCTTCTGATTCAGCTCCCTGCTAATTTACCTGGAGGCAAAGGGAGGATATAGGGCCCTGGGCATCCCCTTGGAAGACCCAGATGGAATTCCTCGCTGCTAGCAAAATGCTGGCCCAGAAAGTGAACACAAACATGGAAAGTCTCTCTCTCTTTCAAATAAATAGATAAGTAAATCGTTTTAAAAAAAGGACTCTTAAGAAAACTCTCTACATTGGAAATACTTTATATAAATATATGCATATGTGTGTGTTATATCCTATCAGTAGTTTTCAAAATATGACTTCTACATTCCACAATCAGTACCAACTTCTGAGAACATGTGGGAAGTATCGGTTTTAAAATTTCATTCAGACCCACGTAAACTTCCTCTGAAGGACTTCCATAGCCTGTCTTACAAGCTTTCCCACGATCAACTACTGATTGTATCTTGTTTGTTACCAAAAATGTGGGTAAATCTCTTTCCAAATTTTGAAGTGAAAAATATGTAATTAGACATTCATGGGTCCAAAACTCTTTCCTGTATCCTTTTAAATACATTTAAAAAATTAACTAGAAATGTCCATCTAATATAGCAACTGAAAAATTAGTGGTCATTCAAATACTTTTCTTTCCTATGAACCCATTTATTTTGTTTCTCAACCCACAATTTCAACTTCAAAAATGATATAAATTGTGTTACTCAGGCATATATATGGTATTGTGACATATTAGATTCATTGTCAGCTTTCTCATTATTAAAAATAAAGTCTGGAGAATACAAACATACACAGAGAAGTAGGACCAAAGCTCAGAAAAAATATTTCAGATAGTGAGCTTAATAAATATATGATAGAAATGTATATATCGAGTATATTTAAAGACAAAGGAGTGGGCCAAAATATGAATATGAAATAAGAGACTATAAATTATATAGATTTAGTAAATAACTAAATATGGCTATGAATTAAATATATAGTCAAAACCTCAATGGAAGAATTGAGTAGGAGATAAGCATTGCTAAAGAGAGACCTCGAGACCTTGAAACAGTTTTGAAGGAATTTTTTAGGCTGAGGAGCAGAGAAAAAGAAAAAACAATATATTGAAGCTACCAAAAGGGACAGGCATGGGGACACAGGTTGTTAAGCCACAGTTCAGGTTGTTTTCACTCCATATCAGGGTGTCAGATCATGTTCCAACCTAGCTACCTGAAGATGTAGTTGAGTGTCAGAGCATAGGTGTGAGTTGTAAATACAGTTCATGCATCCTGGCTTCAGCCTGGCTCCATTCTGGCTGCTGGGCCGTTTAGGAAGTAAACCTGATGATGGAAGATCTCTCCCATTCCTGCCCTATTTTGCTCCACCTTTAAAACAAATAAGTATCTTTTTTTCAACAACAGTCAAGGTTTATTTTGGTCAGAAGAGAGTGTAGAACAGCAGAAGCCTCATGAGTGGAGGGCTCACCATTTGTCCAAGGAATTATGGTTGGGGATGTATTTGACCCCAGAGCAATTAGGGATGAGCCGCTTCTCAGCCATTGTATCTTCAAATTCATCCCGCTTCTTGGAGACGTGGATCTTCTGGCTACCAGGGAACTTGAACTTGGCCCTGCCTGGGGTCTCAAGCACATGTTCCTTGATCTGCAGCTTGGTGTGGATGGACTTGGCTAATGTGAACCCTGGCTATTGTGCCTTTGGCTTTCCAAAAGCACCCCGCGTATCTGCAGCCTAGATGAAGAACAGCATGAGGTCAGAGGCAGGAATGGCCACTTTAAAGGACTGTCTCCAAGGCCCCTCAGGGCAATCTATACAAGGAACAGGTTGCGTACACTACCAAGGAGGATGTTTGCAGCCATTGCACACCAGGCACCCATGAAATCTTTAAAAAGAGATTTAGAGAAATTAAATCCTCAAGAGGACTGTTACATCCTTAATTTGAACCCCGAAAGGGAAGAAGAGACAGAACATGGACTTTGCAATATTCCAAGACAGAAAAAATGGGAATATTTAAGAATTAATTTAAAACTTTAATCTTTAGGTTCAGAAATATTAAAAATCATAAATTAGAAGACTCTAAATATCATGATACCTCAACACACAAAAACAGCTGCAATCTCCAGAATAACCATAAGACAGAGTGAACCTGCATTCAAAGGAAGAAATAGTAGCATATGACTTTTGTTGAAAACTGTGTCTGAGTTCAGAGTAAGATCAGACATCACTTGACCTTCCTCCCGTTCCTCCTGGGTAATCTATCCCTTCACCAGTCTGTGGTTTAGTGTATATTTCCAGCCTCCTTCCCACTGCATTCCACCTGGCTGCCTATTGTCTCTTTTTCACATCTTTAAGATTACATTATTACTGTGTAATCCTGCCACTCTTCTCCATTTCTGCTGGTTCTTTACTGCACACACAGTTGACTGGGAAATGCCTCATGTTAGCTTTGAAAGCTCATTCCAGAGCATCTTAGTAGCCCGTTTGTCTCTCACAGCTTTCTCCAGTCCCTTGAGCTCTTGACCCACTGAGTTCTCGCCAAATCCTGCTTTTGCAGACTCTCTGATGACTAATCTTTGATAAAGCTATCATTGCCACAAGATTCCTTTTCCCAGTGCTCCAATACCCTCTGTGTCATTTTCCCAATAACCTCTGTGTTAGTAATGTGAGCAAAATACCACAGACTAGTTGAACTGAACAAAAGACCTATTTTTCAGAGGTGTGGTTGCTTGAAGTCCCAAAATCCAGAGGCTGGTGGTCTTGATATGCAGATTATTGCTCTCTCCCTGAGTCCGCCCATGACCTTGTCTTCCTGTGCATGTAATCCTTATATTTCTTCCTTGTTTAGTAAGGATAACAGTCCTATTGGCTTGGACTCCAACCCCTAGGGCATCATTTAACCTTGATGACTTCCTTCAAGGCCCTAACCCCACACAGTGTCAGACTGGAGATTAAGGGTGTCAATCTATGAATTTTGAGGAGAAGCAGTTCATTCAGTCCCCTGCAGTCTGCTTCCTAAGATTTCTTCGGATCTGGTTTTCCTGAAATATACTCTAATATACTCTAATCCTTACCTGAAAACTCTGTTCTATCCTAAGCTTACAAGCACATTTTGCATAAGAAAAGTGACTGAACATTGCTCAGCAAGGATTTGAGGAAATGTGAACTCTTAGACAAGGGAGACTACTTTCCCTTCTGTAAAGATTGATTTGGTTATCTGAAAAGGCAGAGCTGCAGACAGAGGGACAGCAAGAGAAAGAAAATGTCCTCTCCCAACATCCCCTCCCTACTCATTCACTCCCCAATGGGCCCCAACTGCTGGAGGTGGACTAGCCCAAAGCTTGGAGTCAGGAGCTTCTTTTGGATCTCCCTTAAGGATTCAGGGCCAAGGCCTTGAGACATCCTCCACTGCTTTCTAAGAACAACAGCAGGGCGATGCTTTGGAACTGAAGCAGCTGGGGCTTGAATCCACACGTATGTGGGATGCCAGCACCACAGGGAGCAGTTTGCTCTCTCGGCCGCAGTACCGGTCCCTATATTCCCTTCTAATTGGAGTTACAGGATCCAAAATGCCTGGCTGATCCAAACACTCCGCAGAAATGAAAGCAACAGATGAGAATACACACAAGTTCCTAAAGCGCTAATTCAACCCAGTGTGGTAATGTTTATAGTGCAGCATAGCACTCTCCTTTAGGCAAAACAGCTTTCTCAGGATATTTTACTTCCGTGAAAGTGATTAAAATTTACCATCCATGTACATGCACCTGCCAAATCTCTGGTTCCCATGGCAACTGGAAAACCTTCACATTAGGTATAGAGACACTGTTTGGATGGAGTTAGTGGGTGAGGAGAAGTAACTCCTGCAGGCAGGCATTCTTTGTTCCTCATGGATAATGCAAGGCATTTGTGAAAGATTTTTCCCCTGAGGTTGCTGCAGCTATAGGTTCCGTTACAGTGTCTGCCTTTCAGGATCTGATTGCCTCGAAAACACTCTGACTTGCCAAGTAGCATTTTTGATTCTACGTATGTCTTTCCTTATCCTGTGATCATGCATTGTTTTTTCCCCTTTTTCTAGGATCTCAGATTACGATGAAGATAATCTGAATCACTGGCATTTTATTTTGGAGGAAATTCTACAGTGAAGCTGTTCGAGTTTGGCAGCAGTCAGGAGTTTGGGTAAAGGAGTTTGGCCAGAAATATTTCTTACGTATTCAGAAAAGCGGGGAAGAATGCAACCAACAGAAAGCCTCCTTATTCCCACTGCCAGTACGGCAAATAAGAACTGACAGGGAGCTTGTCATAACCGATGGCGAAACACAGCTTTTTTCATTCTTTGTGTGTGGTGAGGCAAACAGATGGGGTGGGAATGGGGGGGTGGGAAGACAACCATTAAAAAGACAGACTGCTTCCTGCTATTTCTAAGAATAGGGGCCTTGGGTACATGGAGGACCCCATGGAGGACCGTCAGACTTGGTCAGGAGGCAGAGTGAGTGCTGAGAAAGTGTGAGCAAGAGGTTTTCCATGGTTCCTGGCCAAAGAAAAGGCTATGGTGCCCATCTTGGTTTCTACAGTTCATCTTGTTGGTTTGCAGGAGGCTGACTCCTGGCTGTCTACATATGGTCTTGGAGTGATGGACTTTTGATCATTTCAGAGGGCTCTGGGGCCATGGGGTTGTGGGATAAAGAGGGCAGGTGAATATTGGTCTTGAATGTGGGAGCTTGTCAGTGGAGTGGGTTGGGGAGTGTCAGCACTGGCTTGATTGGGTTTCATGTGAAATCAGCAGAGTCATTTACTATCTCTAAGACTTGACTACATAGCTTTTCCAGGTCTTACAAGCCTCCACATGTTGAAGCATCAGATTGAAAAAGAAGCTCTTAACATATAACATATCCAAGTCAAACACAAGTTCGCTGATAAGATTTCCGATCTTAGAAGATGGAAGAAAAAGAAATTGACAAAGTATCAAGAACAAAGAGAATAAGTTAATCATTCCTTCCAAAGACAGTTTCATGAATGTCTATCTTCGAAAGATATATTCAAAATTTCATGAAAATATGTATTACAAAAATATGGCCCATGGATTTCAAACTTTTCTGTATCAGAATCAATTTATCTTTTTAAAAATTCTTTTCTGCATGGATTCCTTGAAGTTCCCTAGTGTCAGCTGCAGGGGATGACAAAATTCCTGCTCCATCAACTCCACTGGCATAGTGTAGCTTAGGGTGTTATTTCCCATACATGTACTCAATACCTCTTATAAAGTATCTGCCGTAATAGCTTATAGCTCCTGTTTCCTTTAAACATGAAAAGCAGGAGCTCCTAGCTTTCTGCAAGTTTTTTTTTTTCTTTTAAGGAATAAACAGAAGCAGTGAAAGTCCAGGTGCTGATGGTGTTTGGAACAATCCTGAACGAGCTGATCCAGTTTACCACGGCCACCAGTTGACTGCATACGGTGACTTCTCTCTGTTCTAGGCAGTGTGTTCTGGGAGCATCTTGCCTCTGTTGTTTGTCCCTTTGGCACCTTGTAAAGCAGCTACTTGTCTGAATCTTTCTGCACATCCGTGGCTGCCAAGAAAATACATTGCATGTACTACCTTGAATTCTCTCTCCATGTTACCACTTGCTGGAAAAGCTGCATCTCAGCAGTGCCCCAAGTCCTGTGGGAAGACATTCATCAACACAGACCTGCTTTCCCCCTAGGTGTCTGTCTATTCTGGCACTTCTTATTAAGCCTCATGGATTCCTATTCATCAAAATCATGCCAAGGAAGCCTTGGATTCAGCAGAATGCCAAGGAACAGCGGAGACAGGCATTGAAAGGCTATGCAAAGTAGCCTTTCTATTTTTTTATCCAATGCCCCCCCCCCCCAAATGCAGACATACACTAGAGTTTAAAATCAAACCCATTCTTGACTTATTAGATGTTCCTTGCTTACCCTGTAATTAACTACCCAGGACAGCATCAAGTTTAGAGATTAAGAAATAAGGTTAGGGCTATCCAATGGGTGGTCTTTTAGCAGGGAAGGAGACACAAGCTTATGTTTGACTCGGTGTCTATCTCCCTAGAATATCTAATGTGCTTGAAATAAATGTGAATGGAAAAATGTCACTTGTCACATTAAAGAAGGTGAGAAGAAAAGGATGGGATTGAGATGGGAACTGTGACATGAATACACTTCAGAAATCACTTTGAGTTTGAGTATATGTCCAAGGTAATGCATTGCCCAGGAATGAAGCTGTAATTAGGTTGGAAAGCTGTTAATGATTATCCTATTTTTAGAAGAAATAATTACCTGGGGGAAGAGGACATGTACTTACATCTGCATAGTGGCTGCAAATGGTCGCAGGCATTGAAAGGGAGCCAGAAGACAGGATGCTTCTTCTGAGGGTAAGAGTCACAAATAGAATTGGTCCCTGAAACACAAGGGCACCAGAGAGGCTTTTTGGGACTGAATATGTGCAAGTGCAAGTCTAATCTCTCCAGGATGTGCCGACCTCAACTGAAAGTTCTCCTGAGGGCAAGTGAGCAGAGGCTGGGGCTCAGGGCAAGTAAGCACGTTCAGACGACCACTGTGGGTGAAGCTACAAAGTCACCAAGAATAGTGGTTGGCATAATGTGGAAGACCAGCACCAGCCTACAAGCCAGAGGATTGTGATAAGTACTGCAGGTACTGCTCAGATTTGCTTTTAAATGACAAGACATGAAGGATGTGAGGATGACAATCGGTGTCCATGTAGCTGAACAGTAGCTCTCCAACTAGCACAAAAAGAAAAGCAAATTTATCAATGTCTTACTTGCCTTTTCCATTTTTTCTCCTCTGCCCTCCTCTCCCCTCCCGTCCCCTCCTTTGCATTTTTTCTCCCTCCCCTGCTCTCCTCTCTTCTCCTCTCCTCTCCCTTCCCCTCCCCTCCCCTCCCCTC